GGAATTGTGCAGTTACAGTAACTACCATGATTAGTCAGTTAGATCACCCGAAGAAATCACTGATTTTTTCTGGAACTGGACATACTGATCTCTTCGTGTTTCTCGTGGCTTGTTTCATTCCACCGAAGGGCAAAGGCTGGGTAAAAACAATTTCCATTTCCGCTGAAAACGACTTGTCTCCTTTGAGGACGTAATTTGTTTATCAAAAACTTAAACGAAAAAGAAGCGGTTTTTAAAACATTTGACGGTAAACTAGTAATTACCAAAGGTTAGGAAATGCGGGCGAGGACGATGTATTTTTGGCTATTTGGTTAATGAAAGATTTGGGGGCCCACAGGGAGAAAATATTTGTTTTGAGGGGTTGAAATTTTAGTCCATGAGGCCACCCCCCATGCTCCACTCGCTTTTCCCTCTGTTTTGATCAATATTAACAATAGAGTGATTTTACTAAACCTGTGAAACAGTTACCAACACAAGATCATTCCATAAGATACTAGTCCTATTGTTTTGTTTAGTTTTAGTAATATGCTGTAATCGTTGTTTCACGGTCTGGAGAAAATCACTGTAGGTTATAAAATATGCGTATTGATCCAGTCAAAATGATTGATGTAACGCAACAATTATTTATTTAATATCTTAACATGCAAAACTTAGAGATGTTATTTGAATGAATAACAATAAAATCAAAAAAATAAGGCACTTGTTGATGTCCATAGTTTAAAATGTTACTGTATGTAAGACTGAAGGACGAACACCGCTGTCGCTCCACGCCTCTACGGGATCAAGGACAACAGTCTCAGACTATGCGCTTGTCAGGTCAAGGACGAACAATACCGACGCTCCACGCTTGAAGTAAAGGACGAACAGATACGACTCTCACTCGACGCTTGAGGTCAAGGACCAAGGGCCTGTTGACATGGAAGTGGGGGACCCCAGGTAGGTGAGGTAACACGCCTAGCCGTGGTCGAAAAAGAAAACGCGTTTACATACAATTTTACGACCCTGGGGTGCTGGGGTGAGGTTTCTTGAGGTTGTTCATTTCCGCATCACGGAAAAACAAGCCGACGCATGGGTTATGTTCCATTTTACGATTAGACCTTTTAACTCGCCGAAAATTTAAAGAATTCTTGAATTATTTTGAACTAAATGAACCTTGAACTAGATACACCACTCTGTTGAACGCATACGTCAGCGGCTTTTTTTTTTTTGTGGTGGGGGAAGGATATGTTCGCTCACCTCGTTCATCCCCCCACGGGCTGGATTGAGGCCTGTAAGGATTCGTGACAAAGAATCTGTTCGGTTCGCTCGGAACCTCGTTCAAATCCCAAAGAACTTGTTTTCCACGTCAAGATCATGTGCCTCGTGGAAATATTAGGTAAATTTTCTTTAATTTGTTCCCTGCTAAGACTTATTGTTATTCCATCATGCATTGTGGTAATTTTTAGCTAGAACTATTTCGTGACTGAGGTGTTAGAATTTGACTTTTCGCACGATTACAACTTATTTGTTCACAGCTGGGTAAAATTTCCGCATAGCCCCATACTATTGTAAAACAAATCTGTTTTCCCGATGGCAATGTATTGTTTTTGTAATTGTTTTCTCTATCCAAGAACTGAATGCATAATGTAGGATGGGGCTGTGCGGAAACTTTATCTCATTATTTTACGTAAGCTGCATTTGTAGATCTTCATTAGAAAGGCTAGAAAATTTGAATTTTGATATCGAAGCCATCGTTCATCCGCATGTAACATGAGAAAACAGAACAGCACCATTTTAGTACACAGATTAGGCGGTATTCGGTCGTTCCGCCCGAGAGTCAAACCGCCCGAGACCTTTCCACCCGAACTTCGAAGTCATTGTGCCCGATGTATATCTCGTCTTATCTATGAGTTGTGTAGAGTTCTTTAAAATTGTATCTTTGATAAAACTAGTGTGTTATGAGTTTTGTAACGAAATACAACATGAATGGTTTAATATTTTTTTCTGAGTTGTCTACTGACTCTGCAGTAAAATTCGTCTCGGCTACGTTCCGTTCACTGTTTGCAGGACCGCCATAAAAAGCATTACTTAAACAAATTTGGTATCCCATTTTCAAGCCCGTAGAATCATTTCGTTTCCGTGGTAGTAGCATTTTTAGTGAAATATCTTACAAAACCAGACATTTTATTCAACTGACATCACAACTGACTTTTTGCCTCAAAAATTTGGCCTCGATGTGTCTATTACGTAACAAAATGATTTCGCTTTTGATCGCTGACGTTCCGAAGAAGTTAAATATTCCAGCGGTTGAATGAGCAGTTGTTTTGGTAACACGGTCAACAAATATTTACAAACATTTACTAAAAGAAATTTTAAAAATGGAATAACAGCCTAATCTTTGTAATTTGATGTACTGTTTGTTCGTCGGGCAGATCGAAGTCCATTCTCGGGCGGATCGACTTCGGGCGGATTGTCTTTTGTAGTACTTTTTCAGTTCATTTTCCAATACTACTTTCACCTGATTGATTAATTATTCCTTAGTTGCTATTTATTAATTTGCAGAATGTCAGTGTTTTTTTATCATAAGACAGCCGACTCCTCAATGGCACCTGTTGTAATACGTTACATATCAATCTTTCTTAGCGGCACAGCGTTTTGGAAATCATTTACCTATGTCGCTTGAGACTGTTCCCAAATCTCATTCTTGACAACTCTACTATGAATTACTATAACTATGTGATTTCCTACTAAAGTCAAACCTGTATTAGCAGTTAACCCCAGGGTATGGCATGGTGATCACTTCATGCAGGTTGACCATTTAATGCAGGTTGACCATTTAATACAGGTTCTACAGAATAAGGGTACATTTGATGCACGAAATTCACCCACAAATACTACTGGTGTTGATTTCTGGGGATAAACATGGACAAAATATACTTGAAAACTTGTTTTTAGTTTTATTTGAGTGGTTCTGGTTTTAGAGTTAAGGGTGGTTATATGACTGCTTAATAGAGGTAATGTTTAACCCTTCAACTCCAAAGATATCATTAGTAATTCTCCTTATTGTCTGCCATACAATTCTTATGATGTCAATTCGGAAAATCTGATATTGGGTCAACTACTAATGCCCTAATTCATATTTTACTTCATTCTTATCACTTCTATGCTTGATATTGTATAGATATTGTAAGGAGAAATTCTCTTAGTCACTCATGGGAGGTAAAGGGTTTTAGAGGTGAAAATTAAGGTGTTTAATGAGAAAGAATTTTGGGACTTTAACTATTGACCACTTAATACAGGGTGACTGCTTCATACAGTGCTGCTTTATTCCAGGTCGACTGTATGTGTAGTATTTACATGGATACCACTATCTAATTGATAACCTGTCTAGTTGATAACCCCAGTATATGACCAACTCCATTTTGAACCCTACTTTTGTGCATAAACAAAATAATAATCAAGTTATTTCCTTATTTTGCAAATAAATTTTATTGATCATCCCATTATCATGACCCAACTTTGTTGGAAACAAAATAGAATTTCCTTGGCAACAAGGGCTCTATGATCAGAGTTCTGATGTTTGTTTTTTTTTTTAAAAATATCGAGAGTTAAGATTGTTAGCTATGCCCTTGTGTCCATGCTACTCAGTCCAACTCTGTAATCAAATGAATATTCTTTAAACAGATTGAAAAAAAAAAACTTCAGTCTGGTAAATGGGTACAGATATGTTCATACAGTGTATGTTCTATACTGGTAGCCAATCAAATTGCAGAGTTGTTCTTTAGGTGCTGCTGATTAAAAATTCATTTCTATTTCATACCTTTTCAGGTCTGTTTTTGTTATCATGGGCAGCAATTAAGACTACATTTGCACAAAATACTAGTAAGTGACATTAATTAAATTCATTTTAAGTGTTGCATCTTATAATAAAGCTGTGACGAATAAGTGGAACTCTGGTATCAGCACAAAAGGATATATATCAGTCAGTAAATAAAGGGGGTAAGTTTCTAAATAAACTGTGGTGCTGGGTCAGTGGGAGAGTATAACATGGTACCATCTGAGTTGATAACATAAATTGTTAAGTTGAGTTTAAAAGCTGACATTTTGAGTGTTACCCATTCCTCAAAGCAAAGGACTTAAATGCTCTGACAGAGCACTAATGCTCGAAACGACGGTCAGTTCTGAAACTCTTTAAGGTGGCCGATTTATGTTATCCACCCCATTGATTATACTTATTACCCTACATATCAGTCAGTGCCTGAGTATCTTTATATTAAAAACACAGTGAATAAATAAGAATAATAACGAATATAATTGAATATAAGAGAGTGTTTAATTCAAGTTTTGTTTATAGCTCACTGGTTCTGTATAGGTGCCCTCTTCTTTACATTATAATTAACCTCTTGTTAGATGTAGGAAGAATTAGAAAAAAAATAGTCTTTTTTAAAGCAAAGGTGAGAAGCTCTAGACCTGTTTTAAAGACCAGCAACTGGTCTGCTGAGGTCTGAGTTTGTGTAGGTTTGTTAGTGCTATTTTGTGACCTCTTTGGTTATGCAGAAGACAGTAGGTATTTTTTTGTGTTTATTTGTCATGGGTTGCCTGTACTTTAATTTCCACTGGGACAGTATGGTGACGTCATATTTACTTCAGTGTTGTGTCTGTCGAATGAAAAATTATGATGATAATGTTTTTGTACTGTCCTGTTGGGTTTTTTAGTTTTTCAGTTTTTGCCCCCAAGCTTCTTATAGTCATTTTATGGCATGGATTGCATGGATTGCATTGAATTTCAAATGTATTGGACATGTATGTTTACAGGGGGGAAGGAAGAAACTGATATTACTAATTTTTTCCTCAAGGGATGATACAGACATTTGTTGTTACGCAGAGGTACTGTATAGGTCCCATATGCCTGGCTTGAATAGACCCAATGAATACCCAAAAATCTCAAGTCGATCTAATTTAAAAGGACAAAACATATAATAAAGATTAAGCTGTTTACAGGAAATGTGTATGATCTCTTCACAGCTGCAAGTCCCAACAACAGATGTTGGCCAGGAAACATTGACAACGACAACCTCATCTTAAGTGGCCTTAATGGAACGTTTGAGAGTCCAAGAGATGCTTATAATTACTCCCAATATAATCCAGGAATGAGCTGTAACTGGTTCATTACAGTACCAGAAGGGAACATTGTAAAACTCAGCTTCGAGCTATTCGATATGGAGTCTGTGGCTGCAGGTTTTCCTTTATGGCGTTGCTATGGTGATTATGTAGAGGTACTAGACGTGTACGGAAGTGGAAGAAAGTTCTGTGGTGAGTCAAATCCAGGGATAATCCGCTCGAGAAGTCGGTACATGTGGGTGCGATTCAGATCAGATTCCTCCTCCTCCTCGCATCGATATCATAAAGGGTTTAAGGCTAATTTCACTGCAGAGAATAAACTCAGTAAGTCAATTAGTGTGCCACTATGGAAATTAAGCCATTTGGATGGATGAAGGAGGCCCTTTTTTTTTGTTTAGTCAACATAAGTTATCTCCTCTCTTGAGTCAAGAACTTTTCTTCTTCAAAGCACTTTTTTTTTTTTTTTCTTAAACGAGGTCCATTTCTTGAGAGAAAGTTCCTTGCATTTGCCCTATTTTCATGCTGATGGTAGGGTGGTTTTCTCCTCTCTCTAGAGAGATTTCACCACCTCAGCATAAGTCATCATCAGAGCCAAGTAAAGATTATTGTCTGTTGAATTTCATGAGTCTGGTTCTTGTGTTATGATTGGTCAATTTTGCCGTGATCTTATTGGCTGTGAGACTCAAATGACGTAAGGTTGATGTGATTGGTCAGTTTGTTGTGTTGGTAATATTTGGTCGTTCTATTAAATTTATTTGTGGTGTAGTCGTTGAAATTTGGCATGGGATTCTGTTCCAATGGAGTGAACCAGCTTTCCAGAAACTTTCATCTATAGCGTTACAGCATTGCACTCTGAAACGTTAGTCAGTACTATGAACAATGGTCCTTCTCAGGACTTTTCTCACATTGTTACTCCTGGGTGCAAACCATTCGTTGTATTTGTACCTTTTAGTTTGTCCTCGCTACGGTGAAGCACTTGCTGCTTCTATATCAGATGAGAAGACACTGACGAGTCCAGGCTATCCTCTCTTGCCTCCTGCCAGTTTGTTTTCATGGTGGTGCAAATGGATACTCAAAGTACCGGATGACCTTTCCACTGGTGGAGCATATGTTTTGAAAGTTACATTTAATCACTTCAATCTGCAAAAAAGTTATGATAGACTCACTTTTTATGATGGTATCGATTCATCATACAAGCGTCTTGGAAAATCATATACCGGAACGGTCCATCCTGATGTGATTTATTCCACAGGACGCCACATGTTTGTTGATTTTTCTGTGGGAGAGAAATACTTATTGGAAGCAGGCAGTTTTAGTTTAAACTTTTCAGCCGTGGTCAGAGGTAACGTTATTTGGGCATTCTTGGGTTTACTCTGAAACTCAGTTGGCCTAAGGGGCTTAGGGAGGGGAGGGTGAGGAAATGGGATCGTTTAAGTTTTTCTTGCGTAAGTTTGCGGAGTTTGTCTTTCCGTGGTTTGACTATTGAAGCCTTACAGGTGTTGAAAATGTACTGCAAGGCGTAGGGGGAAAGTCTGATGGCATTATTTACAACACCATGATCTGTGGAAAGAGTCACTTTCCTATGTCTCACATATTTTGGTGAAGAAGACAAACGTACTATAGAAGCACTCAGCTCTTTATCAATTGTTTCCCGGCGGGGGGGGGGGGGGGGAACGAATAAATTATACCGGAATAACGATGTGTGAAGTTGGTAAATATTGACAAGGATTGCAAATTAATGTCTGAAATCGAGCTGCAACGTTCTTATTGATGCATTCATTTGCAGAGGAAGCCTTTGGAGCATGCCAATCGTCAGAAGGGAATGCCGAACATATTCGCTTCACTGGTTCCTCTGGTACCCTCTTCTCCCCATTCTATCCTACTCCTTATCCGAGAAAAGTCACTTGTATTTGGGTGATTTCCGTTCCTGCTAACAAAAGAGTGAAGCTAACATTTGATAAATTTAATCTTGATCGGGAGGACAACGTGCGAATACTTGATGGGCAAAAGTCGGGGAGTGAAGAGGTAGCTGTTTACTACGGATACAACTTGTTTAGTAGGGAGTCAGCGGTGTACTCGACTGGGGGGTACATGCGGATAAAGTTTCAATCCAGTCAGGACTCTTGGAATCATACTGGATTTAAAGCACGTTTTGAGGCTGTGGAACCGCGTAAGTACATTATGATTTTATTTATCAACAGACCAATGATTTTTAAAGCGTAAAGCTTGTTCGTTACCTTGGTCAATGTTTTTGATTTGTCGTGAAAAAGCGGGAGCAAGTTGGGATTTATCGCTGATCCTCGCTTTCCTGGTGCTTAGGTGCGCCTTCCACATCAACTGTGGGGTTAAATAGGTAATTTCAGAGATGGTTATCATTGGAAAATTAAAGGGGAAAAGGCTTGAAGTACCACTGATTATGACATCTCCAAGAGTTTTTGTTCCTAATGACACTTTTGCTCGAATTGCAAATTGGGACGGTAAGGTATTATGAATAGTGACTAAAAAAATAAGTTTCTAGAAATTTCTAGAATGCCTAGTCACGCTGACATGCATACACGAACTTTCCACTGTCATACCATGGAACTTTCGAGAAAAATATATTAGATTATGAAGTTATGGTGGAAGACTTTTAAAACAGTTGTTTTGTAAGCTTTGGAAATGTCCTGGAATGCTTTGTAAATGTATCTAAGGACTCAGTCGTTTAGTATTAGTAGTTGTTCTTGTTGGGAGTACCCGTCTGGAAAGCTATACCGAGAGAGATAGAGGGAGAGAGAGATGCAGTGGAAGATTGTTCATTTCAAAAAGATTTGGAGGCAGTGAGTGTGTGTCAGTGGTAAACTAAGATATAGTCCATAATGGGCTCAAGTAAGTTTTTTAGAAGATAACTATTGTAATACCCACATGGTATTACAATAGTAAGATCCATTACACGTTGTTTAATAAAGTAGCTGAGTTTGTAGGAGTATAGAATCTTCTTTCGGTTAAATTATATCGTAGGAAAAAAAACATTTAAGCTTGGTTGTCTCGAAGTTTTCCTCTGTAACTGAATTTAGTCCATGGCCCTGGATCAAGACTGTTTCCAGAGTATCTTTGTATTCCTCTTTTCACTTTGAATTTATCAAATATGTGGTGAATAACTTGAATCTCTGAGGACGCTGTACCACTTCATTAAAAAATTATGTTTCGTTATCACCTTCGGTGTTGCCAGTCGGGCCGTAGTATTCATATAAGTATTTTAAAGCTCAAAAGGGTTTAAACTCTGTAGAGAGCCTGCCAAAGACTTCCCTGAAAAATGGTAGGTTAATTTGTGTGATGCATCTTTCTTCCCAGCCGGAAGTTCCGAGCAGAGATGTTTTCCGGGCAACATTTACAACAACAACCTGACATTATCTGGTTACAGTGGAACTCTTCAAAGCCCAGAGGGAGGAGAAGGGTATCTCTCTCACTCCAGCTGTAATTGGCTCATAGCTGTACCAGAAGGGTACTTTGTGAAACTTAGCTTTGACACCTTTCAAATGGTTCAAGATGGCATCTCGGGAGGATGTGATGCAGATTATGTAGAAGTTGTCGATGGGAAGTACATCGATGGTGAGAGCGAAGGAAAAATGTGCGGTTTTGGTACCCCCTATAACACCACCTCTACCGGTCGTTACATGATGGTTCTTTTCAGGTCTGGTCCAATCAGATCATCTTTCATGGGATTCAAAGCAACATTTACAGCGCTTCATGAACCAACAAGTAAGTGAAAGCATTCCTATTTCTTCGTTTTCGGGGAAGTCGGTGTCTCCCCTTAAACACCTTGCCGCTCATTCGTAACATCCCTCATTTCCAATCAGCCAAAGAAATTTTATCTCAAAACATTTTGAAATTAGGTGGTAGAAAAGGCAAGTTCAAGGCAAGCGTGAAAAGCGCTCTTCATCACGACTGATTTGACAGGGTGTTGTTTGACAATACCTCAGAGGTTATCAGCACGAGTGAAACAGAGTAAATAAAACGAAACTGTTATGTACTACCCCATCAAAATAAAATATTTTGAATTTGGTTTGTGATTTTTTATGCCATGTAATTTCTGAATGATGACGCAAGAATCAGGTAGAGTGGTCGATAACTGACACAATTTCAACTGGTTTTGAACTTGTGATGATCCACACGTAAGGCATTCACGACTTGTTAAAGTATGTTCTAAAATGGTATCTCATTATGCCAAGCATGGCTTTCCGATGTCTTTTAGCCGCCATCTTGCCATAAACAGTTACCTTTTTTTCACGTCAGATTTTGATAGGCTCGGTGGAACAGCCCCACCTGAATCTCTCCGAAGCCAATTCCCCTTCCCCTTCCCCCGTGGGATCACTTCAAGGAATTTACTTAAGATTGTTTTCTGACTCCGTAGCGAAAACTAAAGCTGTAAATTCCAGCGAGTTATGTTACCCGGATAACGTCCACAACTTTGATTTGAGGTTGACCGGATCAGAAGGGATTCTAGAGAGTCCGTTGACCTACTACCCACCGGGTTTATTTTGTGAATGGCTCATCACTGTACCCGAGGGACAAAGCGTTGAACTCATCTTCGAGAGATTTCAGTTGGATCCTGGTTGCAGAGATTATGTGGAAGTTGGAGATGGAATGCCATTGTCTGGCACATCTTTGGGAACATACTGTGGAACTACAATTCCCGAAAACGTTCGTTCAAGTCACCGTAATCGTTATATGAGGGTTGAGTTCTACTCTGCTACAGATTATGCGGGTAGAAAACCACACAGAGGATTCAAAGCCACCTTCAAGGCCGTATCAAGTTCAGGTTGTCTACCTTTGTTTTAAAAATTAGAGGTTGAATCTGTTGTAGCACGTCTCATGCACCGTCAACACGACTATCTTTTCAACGCCACGTGGAAACGACCCTTGCTTCAGATAACTCTACTTGTTTGACTTTTGTTTCTCTTTTTCTCTTTAGAGTCTCCTGCTTGGATGACAGCCATTATTGTAACTGTCGCAGTGTTTTTTGCACTGATATTCCTTTACGTTTGCTTGGCTAAACTAATTAAAAGGCTAAACAGAGAGGCAGCGGAGAGGTTTCCAATGGCTGTAGTATCACGCCGTACTCCGTCTGAACCTGTTGACACCACAACCCCTCAAGTAAGTCACGCTCCAGTTTCAACAAACGCAGATATACCACCCCCTGATTACCCATACCCGTTAGAATCGCCACCACCCTACCCTGGTAAGGAACAGATTCCACAGTTTCCACCTCCAGGACAGTCGTATCCATGGCAACAAAGTACACCGGCTGAAGAATCCGTTACCCATGAGAATTCGTGACGTTCCTTTGACGATTTTAATCCTGTTTTGTGCTCGCGAGATAAGTTGAAGCTCTAAAGTAAGATTAAGATTAAGCGTCAGCTGGGCAGAGAGGCTTACTGTGCTCAGCTGTATAAAGAGCGGATAAAGCTATCCGACGGATAAATCGCCATCCAGCAGATAAGTGATAGCAAAACATATGGCGTCATCCACCGGATCGAGATCTATCCTGCGGATAGCGTTATCCAACCTTCGAACAACCGGGGCCTGCTCTATTTGGTCTATTTCTCTTTCTCGTGCTTGCATTTACTTCCTTCCTAATGCTTAAGGAAAAGTAAAAACAAGCACGCCATACATGTTATATCGGATCACTATCATTATCTACCTGTAATCGGTGTTTTCATACACCCGATGGGGCAATCGGCAAAGACTGCTATCTCAGCCGTTGTCTGTCCCTTTCGATTTCGCCGACAGTCCTGATCGGCGAATTAAAATCTCCAATGGAGACAATGGAGTTGGTTTGAGTTGTAGGGACTTTGGTTATTATGAATTATAGAGTAAAAAATGCAAAACTTACCAAACGGATAAAGAGAAAATAGATTATTGTTGAAGTAAAATAGCAACGACACTGACAGAGTTTATTTTAATTGAAGCAATCATATCAGGGATTTGATTAACTCAAACCTGAATTAAGTAACAAGTCAGAATTGTTATCTCTACAGTTTTGCTTATTTTTCAATGACCCTCTTTGATTTGTCCCTCAACGGATTATTTCAACAGCTGCACATACGCTACACAAGGGTAGTCATATGAAAAAGGCCTAAATTAAATTTTCATCGCCTCTTTTGTTCCTTAACTTAAAGTGTGGCAGAGGGTTCTTACAGAAAACAAAGAGATCGTGACATTAGGCCATTCTTGTTGACTTAACTTGATTCAGTTGTGCTTTTGACAACAGTTCTTGCTTTCATAGTAGTATTAGTTTCAATCTGCTATAGAAGTAAAAAAGAAACACAAGGGGCCGGTTATTTACACGAGGTCTGACCCAAACCGCTGTTTTACGCAATCAGAGGGCCTTTCGTAATCTTTGTGGGAGGGTTGTTTTATTATATAAATGCCCTTCATTGCTAGCTTTCGGCCCTCTTGACACTGTTCACAAACCGAATGTTCAGATAAAAGATTCGGCATAATTCAAGATAGTTTAGAACGCGGCTTTGTTAAGCCTTGGCTAAACTTTTTGAAACTGAATAACCGGCCCGAAGAGTTGTAACCACCAGCTTCCTTCACTGTTTCCGATGCAAATATTCGGGTATAGCGAGTTCTTTAGTTGAAAAAGACATATTCTTAAACATAATAAAAACTAGCGATGAAAAGGGATGACGTTTCGACCTCTCCGATTCCTTTATCAGGGTCTATTAAAATATGACAAGTTATGTTTACGAACAATTGTCGTGTAAATATAATGCTATTAAAAACAGATGAGAATGCAACAGGCATTACGGTTTGTTAAAATTGTATAATTACAACTAATCAAAATATTTATAAGGTACGTGAATAGTATATATAAATAGTATAATATAATTTTGCGGTGCTTGAGCTACACTGTTTGTTTAGCGGTGGTTAAAAAGCATGGCTAAACTGCTGGATACCCTGCCACTCATTTACATGTCATTGAATAAGAATAGCACCCATTGTGTTATGCCTCGTTCTTGGAGCCTCGCGCCACATGTAAATGAGGTGGACCAAAGGGGCAGGGTATTCTGCAGTTACTCCAAAAGCATTTCAAAAATAAGACAGACAAGGTTGTTCTCGCACTTTCTTAAATTGTTCAAACTTCGCTTGATGTTCCCCGGCTCCATGCCATGTTTTCTGAGCTGGTCTCCAATCACCGACCCTTTGTGTTCCTGAATAATTTGGCATGAGTATTCGACAGAGCCAGCATCATGTGCATCACACAGTTCACACCAACCTATTGCTGACCCACAAGGGGTAGTAGCGGGAAAAGTTTTCCCTAAAATGGGAAAGTACGCAACTGGGTGAAACTTTGAATGCAAAGTTGGGCATTGTTTTCAACAGCGCCCGTAAAAAATATTTAAGATAAGCTTATAGCGGTACGGGGCCCGTCAGCAATTATTTCCGAATATTTCCATACCTTTTCTCGGTTGCGCTACACGGAAAAACTTATTCAATCTACCATCCATCATTTTATTGATGTAAAGATATCAGATGCATCTCGTGCTCAAAAAAAAATATTTAAGATAGGCTTATGGCGGTACGGTGCCCGACAGCAATTATTTCTGAATACTTCCAGACCTTTTCTTGGTTGCGCTACACGGAACCTGCAACCTACCATCCATCATTTTATTGATGTAAAGATATCAGATGCATCTCGTGCTCAAGCGACTGAGAAGTAAGAAGTTCCCAGAATCGTGTTTTCCCTACAAGGAACATTGAGAAGTCGGCAAACTCGGAAAGAAGACCACTTGTAGATCTCAATTGCAAGATGAACACAGAAATCAGCCCGGTTAAGACAAGTCGAAACTGAGATAAAGAACGCGATCAGATTGAAGGAAGAGAAACCGCTCTTTTTTTTTCCATGCGTGATCTGTATGATGCACTTTATTTTCGGATACACATGACAGCACTTTAATCAACGCATTGAAGATCACAAACGGAATCGGCGATCGGAGACCATCTCATAAAGGAGCGAGCATGACATGGAACCGGACAACTGACATCGCGTTGCCAAAACAAGCTTCAGTGTCTTATTTTTGAAATGCTTTTTGTCAAAGAACTGAAACCACTGCTAAAAAAATAATGTGACTTAATCCGTGCGAAGTTATCATTTTAGACTATTCTTTAAACTTTAAGAGCCGGTTATTGAATGACACGAGGTGCGGTCACGTTTTTTCGTAATCAGTGGGCCTTCAATATTCTCTACAAGAGGGTTGTTTTCATTAAATAAATGCATTTCTTCTGCTAGCTTTCGGCCCTCTTGACACTACCTATGAAGAGACATGTTCACTTAAAAGAATCAGCTAAATTCAAGGTAGTTTAGGTTGTGGTTTTGTCAACCAACGGCTGGACTTTGTTTAAATAACGGGCCCAAAGATTTCAATATTTTGCAATCAATATACGATTTAACATATAGTTAAGCTTGTTACGCTCTTAATCGTTTTGAAACTATTTGATTTTTCTGTTAATTTTTATAATTTTTGCTTTTAACTTTGAATTTTCTTAAGTTTAACGAAAGAGAAGGGAAGACATCTTTGTTGTAATTGAAAAAAGTGAAATGTGCAAAATACAGCTTCAATCTAACCTATAATCAAGAAAGTGCCAAAATTCTCTCTTTGAAATACATTCACTTCCATTTTGTGTTCGTTTTATGCGTTTGTTTGTTTGTTTGGTTTGTTTTTTTTTTGTTTTTTTGTTTTGCAATATTTAAAGATCATGCGCCCATACCCAGTTTGTTTTTCCAGCTCGAGGAAACATCCCTGGGCATTCATCTATTTTTTAATTCTTGTTTACCCGTTTCATACAGCACATGGCTAAATGATGAATGAGTTACCGGCATGTCTATTCCGGGGGTGAGGGTGGCACGATGCTGGACACTTTGAAACTTTGGCTCGCTGTCTAAAGTTACGATGTCGCCTCCTGTAAAGAAGCCTAGGGTCCGGTTTTCAAAAACCAGTATGGTAAATTAATTAATTACTCTTGAGGTTTATCCAGAATTTTGTCTACAGTTTTGTTACAATTTTGTAATTTATATCTTTAAGAGAACAAAGTTTGTCAAGAAAATAGCGACATTAGTAATTGTACCAAGGCAATAGCGACATTTACCTCTTAGTATCATTAACAAACCATCCGAAGCCTCGGTGTTTCGAAATTAACAACCCTTGTTAATCCGCTAAGTTACAATGTTTTGCGTCTAAGTTATGTTAGATGAGTTCTTTTGTTTCGATCTTACACTTTTACGCATATGTGACAATGTTGTATCGTTTGGTAGGGGCTGTAGCGAACCTGCTCCAAGCAAATTCTAGCTTTGAAAGATCTTGACACATCTCAACACAAAATAGCAATGCAAACCTTAATTACTTTACCTCAAAAGTTGAAGTTCTCACTGTATCGAGCAATACGAGTTTGCTTCACGTGGATCGCAAAATGTGCTCTTCACCTCCAACCCCCAACCACCTATTCTCATTCTAAACTCCCTGCCCTAGATCCCCGGAATAGACATATCGATGAGTTGCTTGTAATCGGATCCTTGTGTTTGCGCAAAGATTTCTGGGATCGCCATGGGGCAAACATTGCAACTCACTGGAACGCAATGTATGTGAAAGGTTGTTTCGACGACCGAAAACACGATTTTGGAGTCAGATTATTGTTTTTATTAGAAATGGATTTGGGTGATGTTGATACAAAGGGAAGTGTAAGCTTTTGTTTTTGGAGAGTGATTATTTTTTTTCTCACATAAACTAAGTTAAGTGATATACAAAGATTTCCGGCCCTGAGAAAAGCCGTAACAACAAACGTGAAAAACATCGTATCTTTTCACGTGTGTTGATATAGTCAATCTGCTGCTGATACGTCACTCGCCTTTGGCGCCACTCAGTGAGGTTGATGAATAAACGGCAAAGCCCTCACGATTCTCAGCACAAAGTAGTTTGTCGGAACTTTCTCGGATATGGCGGCTAAAACACTAAAAAAATCCGTATCGATGAAAGATAGAGAGGTTCAAACTTTCCTAAAAGGGGAAAAAGAACCAATATACAAAAAGAAAAACCGCAAGATACGTATTCAGTGGCTTTTGGTGTTGGCATTCGCGGCTGAGAATGAAAATCGACAACTGGAAGATTTGCCACTGGCCGATTTTGGCCGTTTACCTGAAAGACTTCTTCTGTCGGTAAGGACAGAGTCAATAAATGAGAATTTTGTAAATTGAAAATTACAATCATTGTTGTTTTTGTAATCATGATTCAACGCATTTTTCCATCTTAAGAGTTAGAGTTAACGCTCTGTTCGAT